TGGCGAACGTGCATACGTGACAACAATTCCACGACGACGACTCCATCCCGACGTCGGCATTAACCCCGCGCGGTTTGCAGATCGCGGTGCGTAACGCGGTGCGACGGGAAAGCCACGCGCGGCATCACGTCTCTCGTCATATGCACACACGGTGAATTACACACGACGTCAGACACACTTCGTGATAGTGAAGGATGTCACCGGATTTAATTCGGCGGTTTGTCGGTGCTCGAGCGATCGAAACCGTACCGGGAATGACAGAGACAGGGGCGCATCGTGGGTTAGCGGTCGGAACCCGGGGACGAGAGAGGGGTCGAGGTAGTTGCAAGCGGGGGGGCCGAAAAGGGGGAAGAGGAATACTCCTCTCTCTCTCTCGTTGTGTGTTGCCCCGGGTACAACAACGGTGTTTTGCGATGAGGGATGGACGGATGTGACGTCACGGGGAGCTCACGCCGTGATCTATGGCGGCTGATAATGAAAGCGCAGAGGTGAGATACCGCGGTGGAAACTATACCGTATAAGCTATAGTTTCCGCGGGACCCGTCACACGGCAATGCCGCAGCATTCAACCGACCCCCTCTTTCGCCGCCGCCACCACCACCCTCCCGTCACTTCGCCGCCGTTTCCTCCCGCAGCGCTCATCGCGAAATTATATCTTCACAATGGGGGATTCGACGCGGTGACGATAAAAGCTTGAATTATGAATATCGGTTAATTCACGTTACGCATTCGGGAACCGCGCGATATGGATGATCTGGCGCCGCAGCGTTACTTTATGATCGCGGTCGCGTGATTCCGTCGCTCGCTTCGATGGCGAACGCGCGAAAACTTGCAATTATCGCGGCGCGCAATGCCGCAAGCTCCATTCGTCGTTATCGCGCGATAACAGCTGGAGATCCGGCAATGCGCGCGGTGTGCCGATGTCGCGTGTAGTGGATGTATAAAGTTCATAACAAATAGTTTTGCAAAGTCCCGTAGCGCGGCATATTTTTGCAATAAAGAGAGTTGTAAATAAACTTTTCCTGAAACAATTGGTTGGTTGTGTGTACAATTTAAGATGCGCAGTCAAAGATCGACATCTCAGTTTCAGTTTGCTTAGATCGACCTTTTTCTTAAATAGAATCAACAGTTATATATACTTTTGAGTTATTTAAGTAGAATGTCTTTTAAGAAAATTTTTACATGCTCTGATTACCTATATGTATATTAATACAAATATATTTATTAATTGAACAATCTATTAATTATTTAAAGTATTTTAAAGTTTTAGATTTGAAATCTAATGGCTTTGTCTGTTAAATAAATCGTTTGTTAAAGTAGTTTATTAAGAATATATTATTATGTCTTGTATTATTTTTATATTACTTTATTAATCTAGACACAAAAAAGTCTAATCTAGTTATGTAAATTTAATTATATATTTAAATAGGCATTGAGTAATGGTAATTAATAAATAAAGTAATTTATCCAAGTTAAAATAATTTAAAATTACTTTATGTTAGCTTAATTTCTTTCTCTATTTTTTATGTACGCGCAGAAAAAAAACATAATCAAAATAATATAACGATATAATAACTATAAAAACATTACGATATAAAAACATTACTTTACTAATTACATGATTACTTGATATATTCTCGGAAAATTCTGACATAACAATTACACAACATATTAGTGAAGCGCCTACTGGATATTTAAAATTTATTTAACAATAATAAAGAAATAAATAAACAAACATAGTAGGTAGAAAATATTCCCTTAATATTTTCATGGAGTAGATGCAGCACTTATTATTTATAATAATTATATGTAAATTTTTAATTTTGTGAAAACCAGAGTTATATTATTTCTACGAAAAAACTTCAACACAAATTACAAATACAAATCTATTAATATTGGAGTAGATTAGAATTGATACGTTTGATTATTTCTTAACGCAGTAAATTAAATAAATAACTTCTTGGTTCTTTATAATTAAATTGGAATAGAGGTGAAAATAATTGCGAGACGGGTAATATGACGAGTGGACACTTCAGTCTGGAATTTAATTTTGAAATTGTTTGACACAGGAGGTAAAATCATCAATAATAAATGTCAGTTTAAATTATAAATTTTCACATTAATACAATCCAGAGTTCTTATACGTGATAAAATAGACGGAAAATTAGAATTACTCATCAAAATGTAAATTTTCGCGCGTGCAAATTTCATTCAAGTGGATCATTATATCTGACCTGTTTATTTTAACATCTTGGTTAAAGTCCGTTTTCAAAACATTTCACAATGACACGAAAATACAAATTAATGGCGTATTTTAAAGCAACTTTCCTAATTGGATTTACATAACTTTCGAAATAAACAGCCTACATGTTTTCTGTTGAAATTATATGAAGCAAAACATGCTTTTTTAATAGTGGGATTTCACAAAACATTTTACTTGTGAATTAAGCGAAAGCTGAAATGCGATTATTTAAGTTGGAAGAATGCTACATTGTTCTAACGATACTTTCCTAAAACATTATCAGAGTTCGATTTACTCTATAATATTTATCCCCTTTTTCATTAGCTAGTATCTCGTGTTCTTAGAGATGCACGATGCAAGAGAAAAAACCAATGAAACATTCGATTACTCTAACTTTCAATAACTTCTAGCAATCCCATTAAGTAATTTCATTAATATATTGGTCGAATATATTCGTTTTCAAAGTAACATTGGTATAAAAACTTAAAGTATTAATGTCGTTGATCTTTAATTGAGATTTTATAATTAATCAAAAAACTTTAGAAATGAAGAAGTAATCAAACACAACAAATAAAAACCAAAATACAATTACATATATATTAATTAGTACGCTATAAAATAGACATGCCTATAGCATAGAAAAGTAAATAAATATATTTAAATTTCTTTATTATTAATTTTCCTGTTTAATTTTGTTTTATATAAAAACTGGGTATGTGATATAATCAGGATAATGTTATATTTAAATATCACGTTCGTAATTTCTTTATAGAAAACTGTGCGATATATAAATAAAACGATACAAGTCTTGTGTCGTAAAGATGATCTCAAATATTAAAGCGATGCATATATCGCACCTCGAATATTTAAATCTTTATATGAACTCCAAAACTTTCAAAAGATAAAATTATCTCTTTCGTCATTCAACCGAATCTTTTTGAAACAGAATCTGTTTCTCAAGTTATTCAAAATAACGTTCGGTCGATTCTCTATCGCATATAAGGAGTTCGATATCGCTAGGAAGCCACGGTGATCCTTCTGCTCTTCTTTTCTTCTTGCAGAAGGATGTATATTTCGCGTTAACCCAGAAACTCGCTTGATACGAGCTTCTTATAAGTCGATGAGCTTCCTGAAAACTCATCTGAAACTCGGATTAGGCGGTTACACGAAAAAAAAATACCAGGAGTGTGAGGGTGAGGAAAAATAAAGCAGGTTGCATCGTGAGGCACAAAGAATATGTCCAGCATGCGAAAGAAGTAGCCGGGAGAAAGGGGCGATAAACTCGAATAGAGGTTGTAACCGTCTGACGAAGATTCTCAGTGAAGGCGTTATTATATCGACAAACCTAAAGCGACTGCCTAAAGCGTTTTATAATATTAAAGCGTTAATAATTACGAAAACTGTGCAACTTGCGGAGGAACTTGACGGCGACCGCAGCATCGTAATTTTATAGCAAAAGCTTATCACGACGATTTTCAATACAGCGCTATGTATTATGCGCTACTTTCAAACGAATTTCGATGCCAATCTCCGCTGCGGCGGATTATCGGGAGCGCGATTATTTAACAATCTGTAGGGTCATTTTTAACATCGAAAGCTTGCGAGGTCGTTCACACTCTCACGTGCCACATTCGATAATTTTAAATAGAAAAGTTAAGTTTTTGCATTTTTCCTACCTTTATTAAAATTTCAATTTTCCACAGTTAGCATTTAAACGCGAGAACAGAAAATAACGCTTAATTCTAATAATTTAATAATACCTATCAAAAAATATGTCGGATATTTATATCAAAAAATGGATCATAAATCTAATATCAACAAACTTATTCAACTAACGTAAGCCAAATCTTATGCGCACACGTTGCATCAGCTTGCAACCGCATCTTATGTAACTTTAATGTACTTTGAAGTCTGAGTTTTAACAAAGTCAAAGTAAATGATACCCTTTAAATAAGTGGCCAAAGAATCTGTTAAGCTCAAGGATTTTGACACTTGTTGTACGTAATGAACTATAAATTGCTTCTTTGATATTTGATATCGAGCAAGTAAAGTACAATAAGTGAGCTTTGAGACAACGTGGTTAACCGTGCGTAAGTTAACGTTATAACAATCTTTAATTCTTAATATGATCTCCTTTTCCGTCCATTGAACACATTGTCTCAAATGCAATAACTGCCTCTGCTTATAAATTGTATTACTTTTCAATGTTATTATTATTACCGTGGATTCAATGTTCATTCTCGCGTTCTCTGAGCTGACTGGGTGAATGACTTCACTTCTCTTTGTCATTCAAGTTATGACTGTCATTTTTGTTTCAATTATATTACAAATTATGATCAGTGACCAAATTTACTTGGATTTCCTCACGGAAACTTACACTATTTTTAGATCATGCATGCTTTATTATTCGCCGGAGTAAAATTATTTAATTTAACTGTTATTGCATCGGTAAGCGTGCTCTAAGTAGAGCCGAAATGTCCGATTTATAATTTTGTACCTTATTAATAATTAAAGATTGTTATAATGTTAACTTATGCACCGTCAATCGTGTAGCTTACTTCTTATTGTACTTGTTAATTTCATTATCGAGAACCTTAGTTATTTATACACTTATTTGCTGAAATACATTTCGTGTAATATAAAACTGTAACCTATCCAATGATACAGTACAATATACAGTTTACTATTTTTTTTCAAAAAAAGAGGTGTGCCGTGAAAATTTTATAGTTTTCTGTATTTTATCGCAGCCCGCGCTTACCTTAATACTGTCATCTGGTGAAGACATAGCTCATCGTCAGGTGAACCAACCAAAGATTAAGGAACGCTCTCGAAACTCCGTTCCCGTCGTGTACAGCGGCTGGCAGTTCACCTGAAATTACATCGGGGTTATTACATCCTTCAGCTTATTGTTCAATTTATCAAACAAGGCTAAACGAAGAAGTAATCCGCAGCGACAGACACAATAATTGAAAAGCCAAGAAGAAAAACCAATTAAGTTTAAATTTCCGTGATCTTCGAGATTGTTTGCTCACACGAAGTTAAGTCTTTTGTGTACATATAAAAGAAATTGATATTTTTAACGTGATTAAAAAATTCTCAAATACAACTTTTAAATAAATAAATGTACGAGAATGTAACAAGATAATTTTTTATAAATTGTGATAGCAAAGTTTCAGTATTACTTGTAACATAGATCAAATAACCTTTGTAATATTAATTATATGATACTTTTGATTTGATGTAATCTTAATTTTAAATAATAAAAAGCATTTGTTTCTTCTTCTGAGAAGTTTGCATTTTCAAGTTTAATTCGTTCTCCTTTTTAACTCTTCAGTTGACTAATCATTATGTTAGCGTCACAACGAGAACATTTGCCGTAGTGAAGTCACCGAAAGCTTCTCGGATCGAATTAAATGGCTCGAAAATCGTGGTGTTAAAATATTCGATTTCCACAGAAAGCCCGTGCGACGGGCGTGCTTGCGCGCGTTTCTCGTCGCACAAGAACACATTTGTCATTTCATTAATGGTTGTGTTCCGTCTATAGGTTTTCCGTCAGATGCAAGCCGCTGCGGGTTGACGTATTTTCGTGGCCTCCGTTTAATCGCTCTTCGACCGAGTTACGTTTCCCAGATAATGGTTGAGGCCTCCGGGCTTTCGAGAAATTAGGTGGCTCTTATTAATGGCTCTTACAACGCTCATACGCCTCGCGTCCTTGCATTTAATTACATACACAAATATAGATATCTGTGGTCAAGATCAATTTAAAATGTCTCCGCGTTCAGTAAAATGCTCCCAAATTGACATTCCTCATATCCTACGTCGACTACGACTTTCTAAAAAATTGACAATTTAATCTGATAATATAATTATATTTTTTATTAAATAATTTATTTAATATATTCATGGATTTAATTTCAATTAACTAACAGAGAAACAAGCAATTAATATCTGTGCGCGCGCAAGCACGCACGCATACAATACTGGCAGTGTTCGTCTTAAAGAATGGAATTAATTTTGATTCCTAATCAAGGTCTATATAACTAACCGCGGATCATTAATGATAAATGATCAATACTTATTAGTTGAAAAGAATTTAAATAAAGGTCAAAATTATTTCCGTTCATGGATACTGCGAAATGTATTATGAATAATATATTTATAATGTCATTATATTATATAGAGATTTTTATGCTTACCAATTCGTATTGATATATTTTATACAATTATTGTATTCAATAAATTGATTATTTAAAATGTTGATGATTTAAAATTATATTTATATTATTTGAATATATGTATATATAATAAGTACTATGATCATTTTTATATTTTGTTTACATCTTTTTTAAACAACTGTTAATTTTCCATATCTATATAATAATGAATAACAGCGATAAAAATGTTATCGATTTCATTAAACTCATATATTTGATTGATCAGGTTCTCAATCATACTCCCCCTTTCACCATAATATGTCGCAACATATGGCACAACCCCGAAATTAAAAATAAATACGTTGTTAAGATTCCTTTTCATTTACTGCGTTTGCATTAATGATGAAACCTAATTCAACGATACCGCCGGTAAATTGCTTCTTTGTTTTGAGAACGCGGCTCGCTACTATTTCTTCTCTATCATGTCGGTATTATTCTGACGCCCTACTGCGCTTCGCTTTCCAATTAAAAAAGTTCTCGCTTTAATCGGGTAAAATATTTTTACGAGCTTTCAACCTTTCCGTAAAATAAAAACTCTTGATTTTTCCTCCATACGTATTTTCCCGTTATTCACACCACATATGTTTTCATAACAATGGAATGCGATGTTATTGATTAACTCATTAAAAGAGGTAAGATATTTATAAATAATTAATGTGTGTTTGAGTATAAATGGGTTTATTTATATAATTTATCCGATATATTGTACGTAAATCGAGCAAATGTAGGCAGACGTAAATTTTCACCGATTATTTGTTCTGATAATTTTCTCGAATGATAGAAATCGATAAATTTGTAGAATTTACATAGTTTTTATTTTCAAATCGTCTCTCTTTGAGTCAAAATATTCTTGAAATTTTCGTTAAAATCTTCAATTTTTTATTTTATTAAAAACATTAACATATTTTATTAAAATGTTAATTTACACTTGCAATCTTCTATCCGCTTATTTATTAATCTGCATATCTCGACAAAATTGTTACTTACAATTAATAATATATATAAATTAAAACTGAAACTAATTCATTGTCTTAATGTTCGGTTTAAATTGTTTATTATTTCACCCAACGAGGTATAATCGTCAGAAAATCGTCGGGATGTGCTTTAATCACCGAAGCTGCGTCAGAAATACCACAGAAATAATACCGATGAATACTTTTCGTTGCCAAAAATTTCCCCAAGCATTATTCCCTTGGCTATCGATCATATGAATCGTCCCGAGCATCGGCGTAACGTCCTTCCGGCCCGCGTCCTTCCTTTTCTGCTTGTCGGGATGCCCACCGATAGAAATCGCGGTCCTGGCCGTGTTCCAGGATCGCCGTGGAATTTGTCAATTCGTCCCACTCGATCACCGCCCTCCGCCTACCGACTTACAGCTTCTTCACTTCCCTCCGCCCTTCCTCTTCGCTGTCTTGAGTACCGCTGTCCCTTCGCCTACCCACTTGCTTCTTCGATTCTTCACCGAGTCTCTCGAGTCCTTTTCTCCCTCCTCTCCACATATATCCCTTCAACTTCTTTACCATTTCTTCTTTTTCATCTTTTTATTCATTTCCAGCCTCTCTTTCTTTTACGTTTCGGTTTCTCTGTTTTCATCCTTTTTCTTCGTATCGATCTATCGATCTCATTTCGCACATCTTTCAAGGATTTTTTTTTCTTTACACGCCGCAGATCTTTCTTCCGGTTGGCTCGCAAAAAATCACGGAGATTCTAAGATCTCCTTTATCTGTCTTAATCCGGGCATTCGTTCCGGCAGCCACTCCGAGAGAGAGAACCCAGCATTTTTCAATGAAATACCACGGGAACACAGATGAAACGTCAGACTTGTGCCGATGCCGATGGCAGACGTCGGCCTTGTTGAGAACGTTCTTCGGCGGTTTAATGATTACCGAGAAGCTTCGAAGCTTGATCATGCGAGAGCCTCCTCCTTGCCTTCCTTTCTTATTTCATCGACAATTTTTTAATCTTCGCGTAGGAAAAAGGCTTCGACGAATTGCCGGTCAGCTTTTAACAAGAATCATCGCGACTTGGTTTCATTTCTTGAAAGTAATTTCGAGATAACGTACTTGAAAGGATGCCTTTTAGCCGTTCGATACCTCAATACTTCTATGGTTAAGTATAAAGCGCTAAGAAGATGTAAGTGAGCGGATCATTCGATGGATTATGTCGTGAAAGGCATAAAACTGCTTTAAAGTATTCAAAGTATAATAGAAGAGATAAAATATGAATTCTTTAAATAAAAAAATAATCGTCTCTATAAAACATGATATTTATCGATTTAAATTGACAAAGATGAATATTTTTCAGATATTTATTATCAGTATAAAAAATAACGTCATCTCGGAAATAAAAATGTAAAAGAAAAATAATTCAATAATTTACTCAATAATAACTTTTCTTTTTAAATTATCTCGATATGTTATTCGAGTAAGTGATATTTCCATTGCAAGGGCAAAGTAACTCCACATACATACATATCGTCATATCACAAAATATAGGTATGCTATAACAATCCGTGACAAAAGGCCACAGCCGCCGGTCTGTTCGCCGTTGTTCGGCTCCGTTCCTCATTGCTACTTCGATTCATGCCCGTTGGATACATTTCCTGTATGCGGCAGGGTGTCCGCCAACCTCCGGTGGCGAAGAGGCAGAACTTCCTATTGGCCACTTCCTATCCCGCTAGTTCAGCGTTAGGAATTCCAATTCCCGGCGCTTGTCCCTCGGCTGACCACAAGCCAGGACCTTAAATTTAATCTTTCGATTTGAAATTGAAAGGCCTGGATGTGTGAGAACTAAGCACTTTGTCTTAGCACGGAGTATCCGAAAAATATTCACGACGTTTTCTGTTTTTGTATTGTGTGTTTTAAATTAACTTTATTAATGATAGCCGTATCGAAATACATATATCCTACAATTAAAGATATCAACCGAGGTTTTGTGTGTGCTTCGTATTTATTGTATAAAATCGTAAACAATAGATATCATATTATTTACTAATTATATTAATAATATGTAAAGGAATGTTGTGTTATCTATATAATATTTACTTTTATAATAAAAATATCTTGATTAATTTCATTCTATGATCAATTTGTTAGCATAAAAAAAGTCAAACTTCTTAATAACTGCCTTGTTCTCGTAACTCGACCCGCATTTATGGTAGATTATTAAGTTTTCTGCTTTTAATCAATATAATATTAGCAATAAAAAAATTGCGACTTCTGTTTTTTTTTTCTGAAAGACAGATCTTAAGCATTTTGTTAAGATAACCTTAAGAAATTTCTTTTAATGCATAATTTGTGACACAAAAGACGGTCATCGCGATGACATATAGTGTGCTTAATGTCAACTTCTGGTCGTATATACTTGGTAAAGATAACAGAAAGAAATTGATGATGAGGTCATAGAAAAGGTCTGAGATCAGTAGGGGAAACTCTATGATTTATGCTTCGATATGTATCCTTCAGCTGTGTTCTTCGCAGCGCGCTATTATTATAAATCTGGAAACATCCAACTACGATTTATTGCCTCGTTATTCAATCTCTTCATTATTTACCGTTGCTAAATCAATTTTCGAGAGCAAAGTATTAAAGACAACAGTTTTCCATGTGTGATAACACATTTAACTATTTTTTACTTTTATTTACTTGCGTCTCTT